ACCACGCCCATCGTTTCCTGTCCCCCGGCTCGCCTGGATGAGGCAGGAGGGGTTTCACCCCGTGGGGCTGGAGCCGTGGGAGGTTTGGGAGGTGGGAAGTTCATGCAGAGCTTGGCTGGGGGATGACGTCTTGTAGGTTCATCCATCAGTGAAAATACAAAGTAGGGCAGTGCGAGAAAATTGCGTTTGTTTGGCGATAAAATGCAAAGGGCCCCAGTGTTCCCCGCAGCAGGGGAAGGTGCACCCGAAAAAAAAATAATGGGGGATTGATCTGCGAGTGCAGCATTGCTGCGGTCATCTCCGTGCCTGCGGTACACTCGGTGCCTGTCCCCTTTTTGACGAAAGTTGAACAGGAATAGCCCCCGGCCCCGCCTGTCCCCTGCTCCCGCCTGTGTCCGGTTGGCCTTGACCATGGGGAAGGGATCATCCTGGGGACGCACCACGAGAAGGGAGCGTTCACCTTCTGGTCCTACGCCATCGGGCTGCCCCTGCCCAGCAGCGCCATCCTCAGCTGGAAGTTCTGCCACGTCCTGCACAAGGTCCTGCGCGACGGCCACCCCAACGTGAGTGTCCCCTCCGAAACGTCCCTCCCGCGTCGCTGGCAGGCGGGAATTTTTGGCTTTTGCCAATGTCCCTCTGCGCAGAGGCTGTGTTTGCTTCCCTGCCCCGGCCGCCTTTCCCGGGCCGTGGGGTTTGATACCCCGCGCCTTTGAAACCTCCCTGGGCAAAGCCCCCGCCTCTGGTTGCCATTGAAGGGCTTGAACTTCTCCCAAAGGTGGAGTGGCGTAAGGGGCCGGATCCATCCCCTTCCCCAGCTTCAGGGCAGGCAGGCAGGCGCTCACCCAGCTCCGTGCCGGCCCCACCGTGCCGCATCCCTTCCGTTTTTGTCCCCAGGTCCTCCAGGACTGCCAGAGGTACCGCAGCAACATCCGAGAGACGGGGGACCTGTGGGTGAGTGGGGCGAAGCGGGAGGTTGTGCCTTCCCGGAGGCTTTGGGGTGGGTGCTGAAAGGGCATCGTGGGCACGGGGAGGGCAAAGCACCACCTGAAATAACGCATCGCCTCCGACCGGGCGATGGTTACACGCGTGGCGAAGGGCAGGAGGGCGAGAGCCGTAGGGCTGGCGTGGGTTCACCAGCATGCGTGGGCTCTGCCAGATCCGGTCACGTCGCTGCGGATTCGCCATGTTTCCCCACGTGTCTCTGGCAGGGCCATTTGCACGACAGATACGGGCAGCTGGTGAGCATCTACACGCGGCTCCTCCTCACCAAGATCTCCTTCCATGCCAAGGTGAGAGACTCTGTCCCCGCCACACCCTGCCGTGCCGGCGTACGGGGCTTTGCCGGGGGTTGTGTCGCATCAGCAAAAATATTACCAACAACTGCTGGGTTTTTTTTTTCCTTTTACAAAGCATCCTGAGTTCCCCCCAGGCCTCGAAGTGTCGGATGAGGTGCTGGAAAAGACCGCAGGGACGGACGTGAACAACATGTGAGTGTCCTGGCAGGAGCGAAGCAACCGGTGCACGGTCACCGGCTCGGTGCTGCCCGGCTGGCAGCATCCCGCTAACGAAACAGCTCCTGTTCGGGGCGGCCATTGGTGTTTTATAAATTGGTCAGGTGCTCGATTCCTCCTGCACTCGCAGAGTGGTGAGGAGCGCGAATGCAGGGAGCAAACCCACCAAATTCTTGTCAATCTGCGCCCTTCGCTGGCGCGGGCACCTGCCGTGAACAGGAGCAGCAGGAGCAAGGATGTCTCTGCCACTGCGTGACAGGGTTTTGGTTTTTTTGGCAGCTTCCAACTGACGGTCGAGCTGTTCGACTACCTGGACTGTGAGCTGAGGCTTTCGGAGTCAGGTGAGGAGGCGGCAGGTCCCTCCCGCTCGCCCCAGGGCTCTTGAGCCATGAGTTGGCTCTTTGGTGTGAATGGAGTTCCACCTTGGGAGGCTGAGCTCGGAGGCTCAGGTCCTTCCTCCTCCTCCCATGAGATTTCTGAGGTCATTTCTCAGCTGGATTCCCCTGTGGATGCTGTTGTAGGAAAATATTTAAGGAATGTGGCTGGTTTTAGCCCACCTAAGCAACGCAGAGTGTTGTTTTCAGAGTGGTGCTCCTCTGAAATGTGTTTTTATTTCTTTTTGGTACAACCATGTTAATCATACGCTTTACTCAAATCCTTTCTATGCCCCTGAGGCAGAGGATGGGGCTGTACCTCTTTCTAAATACTCATTTCCCCTTGTTGAAGTACCTCTGGGGAGGGCTGAAGGCCCCTGCCCATGTTTGCTTCTCTCACCTGCTCCAGAAATTTTTAGATGGCTTAAATACGTGGCGGTTTCTTCCTCCGTTGTGAGTCAGGAACACGGAGCTGCCCTGGAAAACAGGGCACAGCAGGAGAGACCATGTTCCCAGCTCCCGTCAGCCTTCCGCTTCCCCTCCTGACCCAGTTATAACAGAGAATTTATATTTATAAATACTTTAAAGCTGAACAGGGGAGAAGCCGGGGTGGATATGCTGGCTGGATTCCTGCCAAGGGAAGGGATCCGTTTCCGAGCCGGGGCAGGCGAGGCTGCGGTGCCTGCAGGCCTGTCCCCTGCCCTGGGATCCTCTCCCAGCTCCATGCAGGATTAAATAGAGCGGAGCGAGACCCCTTGCCTTCCCCAGCTGCATCGTGCAGTGGCAGCTCCTGAGGGCAGCCATCCTGCCTTTGCATCGTTCCGGGGTTAAATCCCTCCTTTTTGGGGTTGGGGTATTGGGAGCAGAGCTGAGCACCCCGTCCCTCTGCCACCACACATCCTTTTGGGTGTTTTTCTTGCACAGAGAGGGGTTGTTCCCAGCTGAGTGGGACAGGACGGGCAGCAGCCCCGGCGTTTGCCCCGTGTCCTGGCAAAGCCACGTCCGTCGTGGTTAACGATCAAACCGAGTCGCCCGGAGCAGGACGGCTCTGCAAACACAGCGCCGGCGCCTCACTGCGCTCAACCCTTCAGTTTTCAGGCAGCTCAACACCTCGATGGCGATCTCGCAGATGTCGGCGGTGCAGTGCCGCCTGGCCCCCCTCATCCAGGTCATCCAGGACTGCAGCCACCTCTACCACTATGCCGTCAAGTTAATGTTCAAGCTGCACTCCTGTGAGTCCCTGGGGACGTGCCCTGCACTGGTCTTTTCCCGGGTCGGGCTGTTGGCTGGACTTGGGACTCAAACTTGCGTGGATGGAGGCATCCGTCACCATGTTCCCGTATCCCGCCCGGGTTCTAAGGACCCGCTCCATCCCACGTAGACATCCCAGATGGAGGAATTAGAAGGATTTGTCCTTGATTAATTGAAACTGATGTGCCTTGGCCCGCCAGCCCCCTGCATGGGATTGCTGGGCAGCGCGGTGTCAGGGGCCTCGCGCGGGTATTTCGGGGTTCCCGCACCCGCCTCTCTCTGCGCCGCGTCCCTGGTCCCTATGCCAGGGATGGGGACACCCCAATCCCGTCCTGACCCCTCGCATCCTGCTCCCACCTGGCCTTTATCCCGCTGACTTTTGCAGCCGGACGGATCCGGGCGCATGTGAATAGATTTGCAGCCCCGGATCAGTCACGGCTGTCCCCCGCCATCGCCGCAGGTCTGCCAGCCGACACGCTGCAGGGCCACCGAGACCGTTTCCACGAGCAGTTTCGCAGGTAACCAGGGGCCGAGGTGGGGCGGTGGGGTCCCCTCCCTCCTGCCAAGCTCCCTCCCCACCTCCCCTACAAGCGGTTTTTCTTTCCCCCTTCTCCAGCCTGAAAAACTTCTTTAAGAAAGCATCCGACATGCTGTATTTCAAGCGGCTCATCCAGATCCCTCGGCTGCCAGAGGTACAGAAGGATTTCGGCATGTGGTGCTTGTGTGTGTTCAGGGTGCACGGGGGTGTCCCTACGGATGGGTTTGGGGTCTGGGGACACCACAGAGGGACCCTCCGGCACATCTCGGCAGCACAGGGATGGTTGCCTCCCTTCCCTCGGCCGTCTGCCTGCGGTGGTTCCCAAAACCCCTTGGCAATGCCACCACGACTTCTTGTCCCTGCAGAGCCCCCCAAACTTCTTGCGGGCATCTGCGCTGGCCGAGCATGTGAAGCCGGTGGTCGTCATCCCCGAGGAAGCCCCCGAGGATGAGGAGCCAGAGAACCTCATCGAGATCAGCACGGCTTCCACCACGGAGCCGCAGGTGGGAGCACGGGGATGGGGTGGGGACCCTGCGACGGTGGGGACAGGCATCCGCAGCCTGGCTCAGCTCGGCACCTTCTGTCTTCCCCAGGTCACCTCGGATGTATTCGAGCAAACCTTCGGGCCACCCAATGGCATTCGGGACGACAGGTATGGGTGTCCATGGTGGCAGACGGGGGAGGCCACTGCTGTTTGAGACCAACCTGCCTCTCTCTGCAGGGATGCGCAGATTGAGAGCCTGAAGAAGGAGGTGGACATGCTCCGAGCAGAGATGGAGAAGATTAAACTGGAGGTAAAGCCCAGCTGGGGAGCAGCCGGTGCGGGAGAGTGGGGTGTTTTTTGGTGCTGTAGTGTGGAAACCCCGACAGGATGCAGCAGGAGTGGGGTCCTGGCACCCAGCGCTGTGCTTCGGGGCCTCTCCCGGTGCCAGGACTTGACTCCTGATGTAGATGGGGTGGGGGACACGAGACCTGTCTCTTACTGTCACGACCTCCTGCTTGCAGCAGGGACAGAGCGGCTGCAGGGGCCGAGGGGAGAGCTTCCCTGTGCATCTCGCAGCTGCTTTCCCCGACTCGCAGCCGGGCGCCTGGATAGGGATGTTGGGGAGGGCAGAGTTGTTGCTGGCGTGGGTGCAGGTCAGTGCCCGCGTGCCTGACGGTGTCCCGCAGGCGCAGCGGTACATCACGCAGCTCAAGGCGCAGGTGAACAGCCTGGAGGGCGAAGTGGAGGAGCAGCGCAAGCAGAAGCAGAAGGCGCTGGTGGACAATGAGCAGCTGCGGGACGAGCTGGAGAAGCTGCAGAGGGTGAAGCAGGACAGCGACAGGTCCCAGCGGCTCTGCGCCGAAGCGGAAAGTAGGTGCCCTACAGCACCCGTCGGCTGCAGGACACCCGTGCCGCGGTTGCTGATGCTTTCTCGCCCTGTGCAGAGAAAGCCAGTGCCACAGAGATCCGCTACACGAAGCTGAAGGAGAAGCACAGCGAGCTCATCAACACGCACGCTGAGCTCCTGAGGAAGGGAACGCTGCCGTCTGCCAGGCAGGGACCGACCGTGGCCTTCGTCCCTCTGCCACTGCCAGTGTGGCTCACGTGTGCCCCAGCCCCACCCCGTATCGGTCCCATCGTCCTGCACCCAGGGACCTTTGCGCGCTGGGCCGGGGCCACCCCTTCAATTCATGGCCACTGGCAGGCAGCATTTTGGGTGCCATGAGAAAGGCATCTTGGAGGTATCCCCTGAGCCAGAATTTGGTCAGAACAAGCCCGGCGATGGCGAGGGTCTCCCCGCCGAACGCCCGCTAAGCCTCATGTCCCCACGCAGAACGCCGACACTGCCAAGCAGCTGACGGTCACGCAGCAGAGCCAGGAGGAGGTGGCCCGTGTCAAGGAGCAGCTGGCGTTTCAGGTGGAGCAGGTCAAGCGAGAGGCCGAGATGAAGGTGAGCCGGCACAGCCCCGGATCCTTCCGTGCCGTGGGGCTTCGTCGCTCGGCAGAGCCCTTCCCAGCCCAGGAAACACAGCGGCTGCGCAGAGTTTGGGTGCAAGGGGTAGGGGTGGTTGCTGATGTCGGTCCCTGATCCGGGAAGGAGTTCCCTTGGCTCCTCAGGAAGGCGTTATTTAATGCATGCCTCATTCCCTCCTGCCCAAATCTGCCTTTTCGTCCCCCAAGAAAATGCCACATGCAAATTGATGGGTTTGGGTGCTGTTGTTCTCCGGGGCCTGAGCTGGGGTCTGCTCCCAAAATTCCTGCCCGGGGGAAAGGAGCCCTTTCAGGATACCACCCCCAAGACCCTGAAAACCCCTCCTGCAAAACGCGGCCGGATTCATTCCCGCCATCCTGGCTGTGTGCCGGTGCTGAGCGGGGCTGGAGCGCGTTTGCAGCGCCTGAGCCCTGGCACGGGCGTGCGGTTGCAGCTGGAGGACCAGAGCGTGCAGATGGAGCAGCTGCGGCAGGAGCTGGACGCCCGGCGGGACGAGCTGGACCAGGCGCAGCGCTCGCTCAGCCACGCCAAGCAGGTACGAGGCCGAGGGCGCAGGGTGCACCCAAATTCTCATCACAAATCCCTGCCGTGCAAGATGGCACATCTGCCACCACTGCCAAGCCAGCAGCCCAGGGAGCCATCATGGTGATGAATGTGGGTCCACCCCATCGGTGTCACGAGCTGCGCATGTCCTCAGCTCTCCCCTGCATAAGCATTGGGCTCGCGACATGGTGACAGGTGGGTGACGGGGGTCTCCTCGCCCCACGGGCAGGCAGGTGCGGAGCTCAATGCCCAAGTGGAGGCCCTGCATGCCGAGAAGGAGGTGCTGAGGCGGTCGGTGAGCGAGAAGGAGTGCGAGCTGCTCTCCACGCGTGGCCTCATTGAGGAGAAGGAGCTGCAGCTGAGCCAGGAGGCAGACAAGGCCACGAGGGAGATCCGCGAGCTACAGGGCAGGCTCCTGGAGAAGGTACGGTGCTGTGTGGAGAGCCCACTGCCCCTCTGCTTGCTGGGGTGAGACCTGTTCGGGGGTGCTGACCAGTCGCGGGGCTCAGCCAAGCCATTGCCGATGTAGCCGGTGGGATGTGACTTGCACCAGCAATGATGGGATGCTTAGGTCTAGTCCTGCAAAGGGGCTCTCGAGGGGTATGCTGGTGGTGGGGCCACGGTGATAGGGGTCCTGTGTCCCAGTTGTGCCACTCACCCATTCCTTCCACCCCGCAGAGCAACCAGGAGCAGAATCTGCAGCAGAAGCTGCTGGATGAGCAGTTCGGCATCCTGCAGGAGACGGTGCGGGAGGCGGAGGACATCCTCCGTGACGCGGTGGCCAAGCTGGACGACCCGCTGCATGTCCGCTGCACCAGCTCCCCAGGCATGTCCTGCTTGACCACGGGGGCTGCAACCCACAGCCTCTTCTCTCTCTGAGACACGTCATGTTGTATCTCAGCTCTCTCCAGGCATCTTTTCCCACCAAATGTCTCACCCAAAGAGATTGGGGTCTGACTTCCCAGTGCTAAATTTTTAGCTCTGATCTCAGCACTGTTTTGCTTTAATGACTCAGATTTTAGTGCTGCTCCCCAGCCGGGGCTGCGAGGACCCAAGCCATCTTGGCTTCCACTCAGTGGTGCCCTGTGAAGTCGGCACTCACGCTCATTCGGACACTCGGCAGCCTGACTGCACTAACAAACCTAAATTCATTGCAGATTACCTGCTCAGCCGGGCACAGGCAGCGCTGGAGTCCACGGATGCCCTGGAGAACGGACACGCGCAGTACGTGGCCTCCATGGCAGGTACCTGGGGCCGGGGACCGGTGGCATTGTTTGCATCTTGCTTTTATACATCTAGCAGCCCCCAGCTGCTTCGGGGCCATCGGCAAGCGTGCAATGCCCTGGTGATGGAGGGACACGGTGGGTGGAGTTGGTGGGTTCCCATGTGCTCATTCAAGGAGCAACCTGCAAGCTGAAGGGGTCAATACTGACGTCTCCAAGCTCTTGTACCGATCCTTGAGTGCCTTCAAGGGTGGGCTGCAGCCCCCAGGCCATGGCAAGTTGTGCCCTGGGCTGGCAGCACCTGACCACATCCGCTTGCCGGCAGATGCTGCAGGGCTGGTGGGAGCTCTGGCCCTCTTCGCGCACCTGACGGCCGACACCATCGTGAACGGCAGTGCCACGTCCCACCTGGCTCCCACTGACCATGCTGACCGTGAGTGCCGTGCATGGACGCAGTGGGTGTTGGGGGTGGGTTTTTCTTGTGGGGTGCTTTTTTGGGATGGCTGTGCTAAAGCCCCCTCCAGCAGGGGCTGGATATGGAGCAGATCTTCCCCAGAGACCGTGTGGTGCCCCCAACTCCTCGTGCTCCCCTTCCCAACATTCGCTCCCTTCTGGTGCACCTTCTGGGGCCAGGAACATCGCTTTGCTCCTGCACACTGATTTATGCTCTTCTGCAAGAAATTTGCTGGATTCTGCCAATGCTCGGCATCATCTCCGCAGCCGAGGGGAGGAGAAAGAGAAGGGTGGCAGGGCTGGGATGGAGGGACCCCTTGCCCAGCGAGGGGCCTGGCACCAACCCATCCTCTCCCCAGGGCTTATGGAGACGTGCCGGGACTGTGGGCAGCGGAGCCTGGACTACTTGGGCGAGCTGAAGGACAAGCAGACGCTGGGGCACGCCGAGCTGGGGGACGTGCGGCGGGCGCTGCGGGGGGTCCTGCAGCTGGCCCAGGTAGGAGGTGGAGCCCAGAGCACCCACCTTCCTGCCCACAGCTGGCAGGGTGGGTTATTTACTGGCGTTGATATTTCCTAAAGGAAAAATCAAAGCAGGCAGTTAACAGAGAAGTATATTGCCCCCATTTGTCAAGGAAGGATGTTTGCTCGCAGCCTTCTGGTTGCACCTTAATGGACAGCTTTTTTTTAAAAAAAATGTTTTTAAAAATCAAACCATGCCTTTCCCCATTGTCCAAAGCTGAAAGCAGAGACGCTGGGTTGGAGTGAGCACTTTGAGATGGCTTGTCCCCCCATACCCACAGGTTCTGGTGCTTTCCTTGAGCCATCTCAGCTTCTGAGTGCCGAGACCCTTCCTGGTGTGGTGCACAGTCACCCTCAGATCAGCTGAAGTCTTTCAGCGCAATATTCCCTGCTGAATAAAAACTTCCCAACTTTCAGATAGTTCTTCTCCTGAAACCCCCCCTTAGTTTTCCATTAAATCGCTGTTAATTCAAAGGCTGTCAGCTCTCCAGAGCCCTCTGGAGCCCTACCCTACCAAAACTGCTCCTGTGATCGACTTTTGTCCCCTTGATTTGGGGACAAAATTTCCTACCTCTGTGTCATGTTTGCTGCAAGTTGGTGGCGCATGTCCCTTCATCCTTGTGGTCTGCAGAACGCTCCTCCTGCAGCTTTATTTATTTGGGGGTGGGGAAAGGAGTCGGATACCTTGGTTTGGTGTTATTCCTTAGAAATATTCCCTTTTCTCTCTCTCTGCCTAAAAACTTCCTGGCGGCTGCTGCCTCCTCCGGCAGGAGCTGAGGCCCAAGAGCTTAGACATCAAGCAAGAAGAGCTGGGGGACATGGTTGAGAAGGAGATGGCCTCCACCTCAGAGGCGATTGAGGATGCTGTCAGGCGGATAGAGGTGAGACGAAGCTGCAGGACAGGCCATTATTGGTGCCTTGGGGCACCGAAGTGTCCACCTCTCCTCCACCCCGCTTGCCCTTGCAGCAACATGGCATCCAACCCTTCGTCTTGTGTTTCCCTCCAGGAGATGATGAGCCAGGCCAGAAACAAGAGCTCCGGTGTTAAGCTTGAAGTGAACGAGCGGTGAGTTTTGAGGGGCGGCATGCGACAGCCGCTCTGTTCTGTGCCCATACCCTGCTGGGCTGTGCTCTGCCCCGAAGCCCCACGTGCAACCCAGGGCTGCATCGTCCTGATGCTGAGCACAGAATTCTCTTTAGAAGGATGCACCTTCGTCTTGTACATCTAAGCCAATTGTTCGCAGCTGCTTTGTGGGCTGCTTAGAAGTAACCTGCAGGCTGGCTGGTCTCCAAAAAACATCCATTTTCTAGCTGAGGCCAAAGCCTGCTTCCCTGGACGTGGCATCAGAGGATGCTGAACACTTTTTTTGTTGTTTCCAAAATGAACTCCTGCACGGACCTAATGAAGGTCAGTACTGCAGAAACCTATCATCTGGGGTGTCAAAGACTGCACAAAACTTCCCACCATCAATAGCATTCATCCTTCTCTGTAAAACCCACATCAAACACCAAAACCAGTTTTTCTTCATTCCAGGCTATTCGACTTCTTGTAACAACATCTACGAACTTACAGAAGGAGATAGTAGAAAGTGGCCGGGTAAGTCCTCCCCTACACTCGCCTCTGCACCAACATGCAATACAGGAGAATTTCCCACAATTTGCAGAAACACCTGCTGAATTTTGTGCTTTCTCCTGTTAGTGGTACTCTGACAGTCTCGCTCACTGGAGATGGGCTGCTCAGCCCTGTGCTCTCCGCACACATCACTGTCACCTTTGCAAAGCCGTGTCCATCTAAAGACGATGGCCCAAACTTGTGTTTTAAACCCAGCCCAAATTTGCAGGCTTGGGGCTCCAAAGTTAGTTTTCTTAGTATGTATTTAAGTGGCCCGAAGGGCACAGAAATGCTGCCAATCCCTCGATTTATGGCTTTATATATGAATTCATATATTGCTATATTTTATATGGATATTTTTTATGGATTTATGAATGTATATATGTTGTATATTAGAAACAAGTTATTACAGGCCATAATATTCTCATGACAACAGGGGGCAGCAACAACTCAGGAGTTTTACGCCAAGAACTCGCGCTGGACTGAAGGGCTGATCTCGGCCTCCAAGGCAGTGGGCTGGGGAGCCACGCAGCTCGTGTAGGTACCCCGGGACCTCTCCTTGGCCGCTGAAGGAGGCTCCCCTCCGGGCACGGCTCCGCGTGCTGTGCCCAGGGCCGGCCCGTGCTTCTCCATCACCTGACAACCCAAACTGTCCCGCTGCTGAGTCTGCACAGAGCATGATTGCTAATTCCTGGTAGAGCATCGTAGCCCGTGTTGGACCACACGGTCACTGAAATAGGGACTGCCAGCTCCTCCCTGCTTGCAAAATGTTAAAGTTGCCGCAATCAAGCACTCCCGTGTCCTGGTTGCTGCTCAGATGGTCGTGGATGGGGTGGTTGGGATTGGGGCAGGGTATCCCCATGCGGGTGCAGGAAGTGTGGGGGCTTTTTGGCATAAAGCTTTGAAAAATCTCATCCACGTCTTTACAGAAACACAATTCTGTCTCCTCAAAGGAGACATTTTATACCTGTCCAGAACTTCTGGATCTGGGCTTTGAGTTGTTTGCTTTGTAAATGAGCTTTAAATAATTACAGACAAAGCTGCTTGTTCAAAGTCTGATGCTGATTTCTAAGGGTATAGCAGGAGTAAATAAGCTGCATTTGCTTCGTAGTGCACAGCGAGTATCTCTAATACGATCTCCCTTCTGATCCCTAATGCAGGGAGTCAGCAGACAGAGTTGTCCTGCACACGGGCAAATATGAAGAACTGATTGTCTGCTCCCATGAAATCGCTGCCAGCACGGCCCAGCTGGTGGCTGCCTCCAAGGTGAGTGTCCCAGCAGGACCGTCTGCGCGCAGCTTGTCAAGCTTTAACTCATTTTGTTCCCATGGTTTTGTCCGACGGATGCTTTTGGGCAGCGGCGCGTGGCCATCCTGTCTGCCCGCCCTGCAGCCCCTTCCCGGAGCAGGGAGGAAGGGGAGCTCTTACTATTTTCAAATCAGTCTGTGATTTTGATCTGCACGGTTCACCTGCGTTAATATTCCCATACGTAGCAGGGCTTGCCTTAGAAATGAAGATCTGTAAAACCTCCCGTCTTCCTCCTGCCAAGCTGATTATGTAAAGAAAATGTTAATAACTAAGAAGAAACCCCAAATAAGCGACTGCAGGAACCAGCACTGAGAATGAGGGATTTTGGTCCTTGCCACCGTTCCTGTTGGTGTGGGCGAGAGCGATGGGTAGAGGTTTCAATGAGCAAACGGTTGAGGGGAGGAGGACCCATACTGCTTTTTACAGCAGATGGTTTTAAAATTAAGAGTATGGCTAAAAAAAAAATAGTCTGTCTTAACTGATGCTACTTATCTGCGTGTGCTTGGCTCTGGTGGGAGCAGAGCTGGTTTGGTATCCTGGGCCTGAAGGGCCTTGCAGGGGTCACCTTGTCTGGCTGTGATGGGACCATCAAGAATAAACGTGTCCATCTGTCCATCCGTCCTTTCCACCCCCAGATTTTCATGCCCAGGGACCGTCCTGACACGGTTTGCTCTGTGTCTCTGCTCTAACGCAGAACATGGCTGCCTGGGGGCTACGCCAAGCTGGCGAGCATGCGTGTGGGGCTGCTGTGGCGGGGGGCAGCAGACACGCCCCCGCCCCTTTTCGGGGGGA